TCAATATTGTACGTGAAGTTCTACCTAGAGCTATAAGACAACAAACGGAGATCAAGGGGTATAGGGCAAGGTTTTAGATACCTGTGCCGCTGACCACGCCTGCTTGAAACAAAAGCTGGCTTGGTAGTTGGATTTTGCTCTCCTCCTCTAAATCCAAGCATGTTGTTAAAATAAAATTCAGAATTTCTGAATTATATCAAGAAGCCAATTGATGTAACACCGAAGAAAACAAAAATTAGGGGCTGTCATCTGTTTATACTAGGTTCATTCTCTGAAAGTGTAATTTCCCTCACATTTACTGTCTTCCTTATTGTTGCCTTCCCCAGTATGCATACATATAAAAGTTGAAATTTCTTTGTTGACATTAAGGTTTGAGTTTTCCACAGAGAACAAAGAATTTCCTAATAGCAATCTTCAAACACTTCGGAAAGAAAAGGGGGCCCCACTTCATCAAATCCACCTGATCTGACTTGAAGCATCTGAACTGACAAGTACCACCCTGAAACTGATTTGGGACTACATTGCTATACACAACTTTGGGCGAATTAACTGATATGGTGCACCTTCTATACTCTAGTCAGAGCCTCAGATAAGAGATTCAACTAAGATTAGAACTTCAGTTAACAACTTCAGTCAAGCATCTCCTGCCAAACAGGAATTGGGTACAAACGTTGTAGCCAATCCACGGGAGACTTCCACTACACTAACATTTTTCACCCTACAGGATCCCATAAGGTTGTCACATTTAAGCAGGAAGTAGGTCTGAGAATACTATGGCCCCTTTACCTAATGTTTACATGATAATTTTCAAATGTTTAGAGTTAGTTTTCAACTGTTTAGGGTTGGAATTGGAAGGAAGTATTAAGACTTGGGCACATCTTTCAGGTAAGTTTAGGTTTAGATATGCTTAGGATGGATATAGGTAGACTATTATATCCATCTTATAATTTGTTTATTACAATTCATCATACTATGTAAAGCCTTCTTTCTATACATAAATATCCTTATCAAATTCTATGTATGTATGTTTTACATATGTTTGAGACATTTTGTATAGTGACACAATTCAGTTTTGTTTAAAGTCTAAATATTTTATTTAGACTAAAAGAGGAATTGTAAGGAGAGATTTTTAGATACCTGTGCCACTGACCAGGCCCACTTTGGGCATGTCTAGAGGCACACATGGACTTGAGAATAAAAGGCTTTTCAGGAGAGATGCAGGCGCTCTTTTGGGTTTCCTCTGAAAGCTGCTGACTCACCTTGGTTGCCAGTTTCTTTTGCAAGTACTTTCCACAATAGTTACCTATATACTCATTAGCGTGTAATTTATTTTACAGAGACAAAGGGGATACAAATTGGAAAGGAAGAAGTCAAACTTTCACTATTTGCAGATGAAATGATAGTTTACATAAGCAACCTGAAAAACTCTGATCAGAGGGAACTTCTAGAGCTGATAAACGCCTTCAGCAAAGTGACAGGATACAGGATTAACTCAAAAATCAGTAACCCTACTATATACAGAATATAAATGGGCTTAGATAGAAATCAGAGAAACATCACCCTTTACAATTTCCACAAACAAAATAAAATACCTTGGAATAAGGTTAACCAAACAAGTTAAAGACCTGCATAACAAGAACTTTGAGTCTTTAAAGAAAGAAATTAAAGAAGACACCAGAAAATTGAAAGATCTTCCATGCTTTTGGACAGGTAGGGTCAACATAGTAATAATGGCAATCTTGCCAATAGCAATCTACAGATTCAATGCAAGCCCAATCAAAATACCAGAACAACTCATCAATACTCAACTTTATATGGAAACACAAAACACCCAAGATAGAAAAAAAAGCCCTGTACAATAAAGGAACTTCCGGAGGCATCACCATCCCTGACTTCAAGCTCCATTACAGAGTGATAATCCTGAAAATAGCTTGATATTGGTACATAAATAGACATGTAGACCAATGTAGTCAAATTGAAAACACTGATATTAAACCACATACCTATGAACACCTGATTTTTGATGAAGAGGCTTAAATCATACAATGGAAGAAAGAAAGCGTCTATAACAAATTGTGTTTGTGTAAGTGAATGCTGGCCTGTACAAGACTGCAGATAAATCCATGTCTATCCCCATGTACAAAAGTTAAGTCCAAGTGGATCAAATACCTCAACCTAAATCTTCAATTAATAAATGGAACCTTCTAAAACTGAGAAGCTTCTGTAAAGCAAAGTACACAGTCAATGAGACAAAAAGGCAGTCCACAGAATGAGAAAAGATATTCACCAACTCCACATCTGACCGAGGGCTAATTTCCAGAATACAAAAAGAGCTAGTTTCCAAAACACCAAATAATCAATTAATGTTGGGGTACAGAAGTACATAGAGACTTCTCAATAGAGGAATCTAAAATGGCTGATTGACAACTAAGAAAGTGATCAACATCATTTGCTATCTGGGAAATGCAAATCAAAACCACTCTGAGATACCATCATACTCCTGTCAGAATGGTTAAAATAAAAAATGGCATGGACAATTTATGATGGAGAGGTTGTGGAGAAAGGGAAACATTCTTCAACTGCTGATGGGAGTGCCAAGTTGTACATCAAATTTTGAAATCAGTATGGAGATTCCCCAGGAAAATGGGACTCAGTCTTCCACAAGACCCAGCAATTCTATTCTTAGGCATATACCCAAAAGATGCATATTCATACAACATGGATATCTGTTCGACTATGTTCATAGCAACATTATTTGTAATAGTCAGAACCTGGAGCAACCAAGATGCCCCTCAACTGAAGAATGAATACAGAAAATGTGGTACATTTATACAATGGAGTACTACTCAGCAGAAAAAAACAGGGAATCTTTAAATTCCAAGGCAAATGGATGGAACTTGAAGAAACCATCACGAATGAGGTAACCCAGTCACACAAAGATCAACATGGTTTGTACTCACTCATGTGTGGATTTTAGACATAGAGCAGAGGATTACAAGCCTACATTCCACACCCCCAGATAATGTAGGAACAAGGGGGAACTCTAAGAGAGAGACTTACATGATCCTCTAGAGAAGGGGAAAGGGATAAGGTCCCCTGATCAAATTTGGAGCATTTGGGGAGGGAAGATGTAGCTAGGAGAAAAACAAGTGGAGAAGATGAAGGGAGAAGAGCACATGAGGGTGTCTGGGGAAGAATAGAGCAGAGCAAAATAAGAGATACCATAATAGAGGGAGCCATTATAGATTTAAAGAGAAATGTGGCACTAGAGAAATGTTAAGAGATCTACAAGGATGACACCAACTAGCCATCTAAGCAATAGTAGAGAGGCTACCTTAAATGCCCTTTCTCTGATAATGAGATTGATGACAACCTTATATGCCAATCTAGAGCCTTCATCCAGTAGCTGATGGAAACAGAAGCAGACACCCACACATGAACACTGAGCTGAACTACTGGAATCCAGTTGCAGACAGGGAGGAGTGATGAGCAAAGGGGTCATGAACAGGCTGGAGAAACCCACAGAAACAGCTGACCTGAACAAGAGGGAGCTAATGGAATCCAGACTGATAGCTGGGAAACCAGAATAGGACTATTCCAGAACCCCTCAACCTGGATGTCATTTTGGAGTTCTGGTTAATCTATGGGGCCTCTGGTAGTGGATCAGTATTTATCCCTAGTACATGAATGGACTTTGGGAGCCCACTCCAAATAGAGGGATACTCTCTCAGCCTAGATACATGGGAGAGGGCCTAGTGCCTGTTCCTAGTGACATGACAGACTTTGAAGATACCCCCTGGAATGTCTCATACTCCCTGGGGAGCATAAAGGGTATGTTATAGGAGGTTGATTGGGGACATGGGAGGAGGGCAGGGAGAGGTATCTGGGATTGACGTAAAAACAACTTTGTTTCTAATTTAAATAAATAAAATGTATAAATAATTTAATAACATTATAGTTCTATTTTAGCTTAATACTCAAATTGTATTTCTTGTTTTGTTCCTTTTCCTGGACCTGATATGTTCATTTGCATAAAAGAAAACTTTAGCAATTGATATTTTATTGCAAATTATGTAAATTTTAAGTTATCACAAATAGTTTTAGTTTTTAGAACATATTTTGGATACGGGTGAACACACATTCATTTCCATATCATGGAATATATATTATCTATTTATATCTTTTAGACAATGCGTATAAATTCATCAAATCTCTATTTTATCATAGTGAAAATGTTCTCCCTATAATGCTATTATTTTAAGATCAAAAGAACTTTAAATTTATTCATAAAAATTAAAAAGAAGTCCTCTGCCTCCCTCACCTCCTCTGCCACCTCTTCTCCCATGTCTCCCAGCAGACAGCGATTACCGGGTTAAGCGCTGCGGCTCCAGTGTCTCAGTGTTCCTGCTCCTACAAGTCCAGCGAAGGCGAGGGTGGGAACAGCGTGCATACTGCGCTTTCGGGCCTCTACCTGGAACGCTTGCTACAGAAGCACAACCGACCTAAGAACACATTGAACCAGTTGAATGTTGTCACTGAAGACAGGTATACCAATGGGTCTACTGCTCCAGGTAGCCCTGCCCATACTAATGGGCAAGAGGCAAGGAAAGTGTGTCTCATACAGTTTGAGAAGATCACAGAGGAGCCCATGGGAATTACTTTGAAGCTGAATGAAAAACAATCATTTACTGTGGCCAGAATTCTCCATGGTGGCATGATTCATAGACAAGGCTCCCTACACGTGGGGGATGAGATTCTAGAAATCCATGGCACAAATGTAACCAATCACTCAGTAGACCAGCTTCAGAAAACAATGAAGGAAACCAAAGGAATGATCTCATTAAAAGTAATTCCTAATCAGCAGAGTCGTCTTCCTGCATTACAGATGTTCATGAGAGCACAGTTTGACTATGATCCCAAAAAGGATAGATAATTTATCCCTTGCAAAGAGGCAGGACTGAAGTTTGTTACTGGAGCCATTATCCAGATCATCAACAAAGATGACAGCAATTGGTGGCAGGGGCGGGTGGAAGGCTCCGCCAAGGAGTCTGCAGGATTGATCCCTTCTCCTGAGCTGCAGGAATGGAGAGTGGCAAGTGTGGCTCAGTCTGCTCCAAGTGAAGCTCCAAGATGTAGTCCCTTTGGGAAGAAGAAGAAGAAGTATAAAGACAAGTATCTGGCTAAGCACAGTTCAATTTTTGACCAGTTGGATGTTGTTTCTTATGAGGAAGTTATTTGGCTCCCTGCATTCAAGAGGAAGACCCTGGTGCTGATCGGAGCCAGTGGGGTAGGTCGCAGCCATATTAAGAATGCTCTGCTCAGACAGATTCCAGAAAAGTTTGTGTACCCTGCCCCATATACAACACGACTGCCAAGGAAGAGTGAAGAAGATGGAAAGGAGGATCACTGCATCTCAATAGAGGAAATGACAAGGAACATCTCTGCCAATGAATTCTTGGAGTTTGGCAGCTATCAGGGCAACATGTTTGGCACCAAATTTGAAACAGTGCAAAAGATTCATAAGCAGGGCAAGATTGCCATCCTTGACATTGAGCCCCAGACCCTGAAGATTTTTCGAACAGCTGAGCTTTCATCTTTCATTGTGTTCATCGAACCTACTGACCAGGGCACTCAGACTAAAGCCCTGCAGCAACTGCAGAAGGACTCTGAGGCCATCCATAGTCAGTATGCTCACTATTTTGACCTCTCTTTGGTGAATAATGGTGTTGATGACACTCTTAAGAAACTACAAGAAGCCTTTGACCAGGCTTGCAGTTTGCCACAGTGGGTACCTGTCTCCTGGGTTTACTAAGCTCACAGAATTTGAGAACCTATTCCAGCCCCTCCCCAGCATTTGGAATGCCATCCACCTTGCTTAAACCAAACAGGACTGCTTCAACTTCTAGCTATCTGCAACTGTCTTAAGGATGTCAGTAGGATTCAAGTCTTTGCACTCGGGCTCCTAAAGGGTGTAAGTTTAATTTTCCTACTATCTAGATTTCAAAATGACCTCTGGAAATTAGCAGTGCTATCCAAATGCAAATGCTGTACAGAAAAACCAATTATCCTTATCCTTCTGATTCTTGAGCTCCTTTACTTTCAACTACACTATCTTGTCTCTTTACTCTGGAATTAAGTATACTCTGAAACTTTCCAAAATGCCAAAATTAAATAGCTGTGCAATAGTACAACTGCTCTAGACAAACCCTCCAAAGCAATAAAAATTATGCTGTGATATAATGAATAAATAAAAAGAAGTTTTACATTTAAGTTAAATTGAAGTAATTCCATCCAATTCTGGCTATGGAATCCAGGGCCTTAAACAAGCTAGATTAGAACACCATTACAGGTTGTATTTCTAGCCCGAGTTGGATACATTTTGACAACTGCTAAGAAGATGAGCCAGGGTCTGCAGAGATAACTCAAGGCTAAGAGCATCTACTACCCTTGCAAAGCACAGGAATGTGGTTCCCAGAATCCATGTATCTTCCAGTAATTCCAGCTCCAAGGATTCAATATCCTCTTGGGGCCTTGGAGAGGACCCACATGCATGTGCCAGATACACATACGTATAAATAAAAATAAAATAAATCTTTTTAAGGAGCTAAATCGGGTGCATACCTTTAAATTTAGCACTTGAAAAACTGAGGCAAGAGATTCAGATGGGGTCCAAGGCCAGCATAAACGTAATAGAGCATTTCTGGTTCAACTGCACCAAAGATAGAATAGCTAAGTCAACACCAGTTTTGCATAATCATTATTAAATATTGACAATATGAAATTCATAGTTTAGAAACAGAGAATAACATATGTATCATGAGGCACAAATAATTTTAAATGTAAAAATAAAAATAGTAAAATACAAGCAATACTTTGAAAATTCTGGCATACAGAAGAAGCACTTTTGTTCCAGCAAATTTGGTTCTGATATCCATATAACACTTAGTCTCTTAACTAATTTTTCTGATGTGTGTTTTCCTTTTACTGAAATAAATCAAGGGTTATAAATAACTTACAGCATAAATAAATAAATTTATGTTCATATGCTTTTGTCAAAGTAATAAAAAACAATTTTTAATGCATCCAAATCTTTTCCAAGCTAATGATTTACTTGTCAGATTGTACACCAACTTTCTTACTTGATTTTATTACATATATTTTGTCTACTGGAATAGAAACAAGGTAACAATCACAGTGCTTACAACAATAACCCTATTCTGGAGTGCTAATTGCCAGACAGATATGGGTAAACATTGTCCTCAAGTGACAAGTTAATATTTGTTCAAAGGTATGAAAGATAATAATGAAGGACATTTGAGAAGTGAATTGTACCTCATTTGATTTGGATTACCTGTGTGTAAATGAAGCTAAAATCATGTTAAAATATTTACAATGCCCTCTCATTTATAAAGTGAGATATTTCTTGGATTCCTATTGTTTCAATGAATATGTAAAGTAAGTGCCCAGTCTTTACATCCTGGGAAATCTTAAAGGATAGCCGATTCTATTCTTGGTTTATGGGTTTGCTTTCTATCTTTTTGGCTGACTACAACACAGAATTGTTATCTAACAAAAGTGGGGCAAAGGTTTACCTTATTCTGTTAAAGAAAAATAAAACAAGCCTATTTTTCAATTCTGTTTCTTATTGTTATGTACAATATTTTCTTATTTTTATTATATAGAGGAGCAGACAGAGTTTGTTATATCATGTCCTCCTCTTAAATACTTGGCAAGAACTTTTTTTTGACTAACAGATGATAGTGACTTAGACCATCATAAATGGTGAAAATAAAATGACAGAAAAAAGATTTGTCTTTGGTACCAACCATAAACATAGGAAGGGCAAATGCAGAGGACAGCTTTTTGGGATTTTTTGTTTGTTTGGTTTTTGCCCCTCTCTCTCCTTCCTTATCAGTCCAGGACCCTAGGATGTGGAATACTGCTTCTCACATTCCTTCCTCAGTTAAATCTCTCTAGACACAACCTCACACATATATACAGAAATGTGTTGCCTTCATGATTATCAACCCAGTCAAGCTAACAATTCCTTTGTAGGAATCATGGTTTTATATATATATATATATATATATATATAATAAAAAATCTAAGTAGATATTAATTACATTCATTTTTTCTTTCATAATCACACCTTAAGCAAGGGAAACACCATGGGGGTCCATGTTATATTCAACAAGAGTTCCATTTTTCTTAATAACAAAATATGGGAGTCTGATATTAGGGGGTAAAAGCTGAAAGATCAGAGAAGCAGAGAAGCCAGCCATTATTGTTCCTACCTCTACAAAATCCTCAGACTGAAAAGAGAGGAGCTCTTGTCTACTCCCACCTTATATTACTCTCTTGGCCCAGTCATCTCACTTCTTGTCTGTCTGTCTGGACTTCCAGACTTCGATGGTTAACTAGTGGCTTGCTCCATCCTCTGATCTTTGTACAAACATTATTTGTACAGTACAAACAAGATATCACCACAGTTATACTTCTTCATTGAGATTTTCTTGAAATAATGCAAAAAGATAAAATTTTGTGCTTGGTTATTTCTGATAAGAGTTCTTAAAAATAAGCTGGCTTTTCAGATCCTCCTGTTTCAGCTTTGTGAATGTGATGGTCATGGTCATATATTATCACATTCACATCTAGATGATTGGTTTTTTTCATAGACTACCACATAAGATTTGTTTAGTGTTCCAAACCAGAAGCTCCCTAAGTCTTATTTATTAAAAAATTGAAACTTAACTATCTGAATTTCAGGACACCAACATCAGAAACACAAATTTCCTTAGATTTCCATATTTAACATTAAATTTTTTTGTAAATTTTCAAAATGTAATTTTTGTTATTGAAACATATTTTTGTTTTCTTACATAATGTATACTGATATGTTTTCCCCTCTGTCTACTCCTCCTAGTTGCTCTCTACCTTTCCTGCTATATGGACAACCTTCCTTTTGCTTCTCATTAGAAAATGAAATATGCCACCAGGGACCAAAATGATATGTGGCCTGTGCAGCCACCTAAGGCTGTATTGATATTTGTGGTTCATGCTTCAACCAGGTACCATGTTTGGGTCTGTGGTACTACTGTAGACAGGTCTGTGTTGATATACATGGTCCATGTTTACCACCAAAGACCATGCAGATAACTGTGGTCTATGTTGCCACCTGAAGTCATGTTGATATCCTAGGATTGGTCTCTCATTGAGGACCATGTTTGGGTCTGTAACCCTGGGCAATGTAAATTGAACTTGAATATTTTTTCTTATCCTTCCTTTATTTTTTTGTGTATGTGGGGAATCACAAAAGGGGGAGCAGACATGAGAGGACTGGGAAATGAGTGTGATCAGGGTTCAAGATGTGATATAACCAAATAACCAATATAATATTACATGAAAAGAGTAGGCTTCTAAGATATAATGCTATGATATGAAATGAGAAAATACATTATGATAAAAATTAACAGGTCTGATTTGGATGAAACAAAAAATCAGAAGGAAAGATCCCAGAAAAGGCACAAGAATCAGAGACTCAATTGTTCACACCCTCAGAAATCAGACAAAAATACTAAACTGGAAGCCAAAATATATACATACACAGAGGAACTGGTACACAACCATGTAGGCCCTGTGCATACTGCCTCAGTCTGAGTTCATATAAACAATGATCCTGTTGACTCAGAAAGTCTTGTTTTCTTGGTGTCTTCCTTCCCCTCTGGTTCTTAGCAATCTCTCTGCCTGCTCTTCTTCAAGATTCCCTGAGCTCTATGGGGCAGGATTTGATTGAGATATCCCTTTTAGAACTTTGTATTCCAAGGTCTCTCACCCTATGCATAATGTTTTGCTGTTGATCTCTATTTTTCTTTCCATCTGCTGCAGGAGGAAGCTTCTCTGAAGGAAACCGAGAAGAAAATTGGTCTATGAACATAGCAGAACATCATTAGAAGCCATTTTATTGATTCATTTTATTTTTTTGTAAAGAAGAGTAGTGTTTGGTTTTACCCTAGCTCTCTGGGGTATCTCACCTGTGGTCCTTGGTCACCCAAGCGGCTTCATGTATGCTTCCAGCTCATGCAGTGGGTCATAAGTCAGTTCAGACGTTGCTTAGTTATTCTCACAAGTAGTGGGCTACTGTCATCCTATCATATCTTGAAGTGAGGACAGCATTTTAAATCAATGGATTTGTGGCTGGGTTGGTGTTTACACATCTCTTTTGGTAACTTGCAGAATGCATTCTTTAACAAAGACACTAGAATATCTTGTTGAATGTTATACCATTTTTGTGGAATGATTTGCTCTAGAACAAAAGGAGGAAATTGCACCAAATATGAATAACAGGAAAAATTAATCAAACCTGCACCTGAAATCAGTAAGATTGTAACATTCAGGCAATCATTATAAAGAATTTATGAAACAAACAAGTAGTTCTCTGAGAAAAACAAAACAATTGACAAACCTTTGTCCAAATTAAATAAAAGTTGGAGATAGGATATCCAAATTAACAAAATAAAAAAGGGGGGGACACACCGAGGAAATCCAGAGACTCATAAGGACATACTTTAAAAGACTATACTCTAACAAAGTAGAAAATCTAAAAGACATTGATAATTTTCTCTGTAGGTACCACTTACCAAAGTTAAATCAAGATGAGATAAGTAGTATAAGCAGATTTATAATCCTCAGTGAAATGTATATAATCATTAAAATGCCACAACCAGAAAAGTCCAGTGCCAGAATACATCATCACAGAATTTTCAAAGAAAACTTACTGCTAGTATTCTTCAAATTATTTCATAAAATAGAAATAAAAGTACTGCTTTATTCATTCTAGGGGACCATAGTTGCCCTGATACCCAAACGACATAAAGACTCAACAACAATAAAAAAGAGTATTGAAGCACAATTCCCTTATTAACATAGATGTAAAAATAATAAAATACTTGCAAGCTAAATCCAAGAACACTACTAAAAGATATCCACCATGATCAAGTAAACTTCATCTCAAAGATGCAGTGGTGGTTCAATATATGTAAATTGATAAGTGTAATCTATCATAAACAAAATAAAATATTTTAAACTGGAGAAAATAGAAGATGAATTACATTGTACTCAATGGGCTAACCAGAGGATCCTCCCTTCATTTGAAATTTTGTGATGGCAGTTTAATATTTTATATCTTAGATATTTAAGAAAGTTCTGTTTCATTTAATGCTTCAATTCATAAAAATTAA